GGGTTGGGTTCATTGTATAATGGTAAAAATTCACCGAATGAATTCATAAAATCTAATCACTACATCGGTTACACAATTCAAAACATAATTTTATAAGTTGCACTTTTGAATGGTTGATTTTGTAGCTGAAAATTTATTAAAGAATTTGTAACTTATTGTATTTGAATTCAAAATAAGCATGTGAATGAATTCAAAGTAATAATATGACATTTTTATTAAAATATCCAACACACTTACCATCTAAAAAATGTATCATATAATTTATTGAGTTAATTTATATGAACACAAAAAATTATCCATGAACTCTAGAAAGGTACAATGTATCCTCGTTAATTTTACATACTACATCGTATTTTAAGCATACAAGCATGTTATGAACTAAGTAATTTAGTTTAAGATATTACTACTACTTTTTATACATTATTTTGAACAATAACAATGTCTTTTTTTGTTTTAACCACGTAAAGAGTAGTAATGTAATTATTCATAATTGATGAGACAATCAATAAGCAATAGTCACGTTGTAAGTGGTGAAAGGTAAAAATAGGACATATAACTCTTAGGATTTGTTTGGTTCACGTACTGGATGAGATGAGATGACTCATCCTCAAATCATTAATCCGGGTTAAGTCATCCTTAGTTTAATAATCCAAATTATCTTAGTGTTTAGTTGGTTCTAGCATGGATAAGATATATTGAGAAATAATCCTATCCAGTATTTGGTTGGAGATTAGATGAGATAGGATTGCTATTTTAATGACCAAAATACCACTTAATTTTTATGATCATTTTAATAAAACAATTTAATATTTTATAACTTTTACTAAAATAAAGTAATTTGAAACTTTAGAATTATAAAGTAAACCAATGATTTTGAGATATAAAAATTTACATTCACTCAAATTCAGCCGTTTTGGGCCCTTAAAAATAGATATTAACCTAGGTTTTGTATCTAAATTTGAAATTCAATTAAATAATGGGCTGATTTTAGGCTAAGTTAGGATTAAATTGAATAAAATCCAACCTATTTAAGAGTTTTAAATGAGTAAAACTCAAACCAATGTAGAAAATTTTTCTTTAGACCGAGTTTGAATTTATTGAAACCCTCATTCACAAAACCCAATTGATAAGGTTATGTATTGATATAGAACTTGGTTGAGAAAATAAGGTAAATAAAGGCAATTTAGTCTAAGGAAAATATAGTCCTTTTATTATGATGTAAGTAGGGGTAAACTAGTCAAAAAATTTAAATTACTTAATAGGGGTAAATTTGTTAAAAATTTAAAATAATGAATAAGGGTAAAATAGTAAAAATTTTAATATAATTAGTAGGGGCAAATTTGTCCATTTATTATCATATTATTATGTGAGAGTATGGTTATATAATATTCAATGTGAATTTGTATCATTTGCAAGGGCAAATTAGTCCAAATATTGTTATATTGATAATATGGGCAAATTAATAAAAAAATTTTAATTAATTAGTAGAGGCAAATTAGCCCATTCAGGTTATATTATCGTGTGAGAATAAGGTTATATAATTAGGAGAGTATAAATTTATATTATTTGTAAAGATAAATTAGTCTAAAATTTCATCATCCTATCTCTTAATCATCCTGAGATAATTAATACCATCTCCTCCATGAGATTATTTTATTCCATTAATAGGGAATTAATTCAATCAATTGGGATGTGTCATTCCGTGAGTAAAATGCAAACAAACATGAGATGATATAGAAGATGATTAATCCAATTTTGGATCATCTCATGAACCAAATGGACCCTTGAGGTATAAGATATTAAAAATGAACAAGATAAATACCGCATGTGAAAAAATATAAAGAATGAAATTAGTTTTCATTTATAACTAAAAATGAATATCTGAAACCAGAACCAAATTAAAATTAGCTTTCGTCTTTTTTTTTTTTTGGTAACCCGGAACATGCCCCGACCCAAGCCCTTTGGACCCGAGTCGGCACACCAAATCGGAGGGAAGCCGATAGCCCCATACAGCTTTCCCAGACAAGTTAGGATGTGCAGCGCAGCGGGCACGAATCTGTCACGGATTTGGATCAATGGAATGATGAGTTTAGTGGATCTGTTGGAAAGAATGAACAACTGGGAAAGAAGTAGAGTGAGAGAGAAGAATAGAACGAGAGAGAAAAAGAGGTTAGGGAGAGAGAGAGAGAAATGAATTCAATTCTGGTAAAATGTCTGATTGTTATAAGCTGTGGGCCCCATTTATTGTTGCAAGGCTAACTACCGTAACTAACTAAACAATTGGCCAAAACGTTGTCGTTCTTCTTAGCAATTGCCCTAAGCTCTTAAACGGTGCCGTTCCACCAATTAATTTCCCCAATCCCCTAAACGGTGCCGTCCCAATAATGTGTATTCCTATCTGCTAGACTGACAATCCCTTCCCCTTGCGAACTGACTTGTCCTCAATTCTGCAAAAAAATTCTGGAAATTGGTGCTCGATGAAGGCTTTATCTTCCCAGGATGCTTCATCAAAACTGAGGTGATTCCATTTGATCAGGAGTTGTACCACAGGCTGTCCATCACGTAAGATTGCTCTACTCTTCAGGATCATCTCTGGTTTAAGGGGGCACAGTTCATGCTCATCCCATTCTGGTAATGTTGTAGACAGTTGTTGGAGAGGACCTACCTTCTTCTTAAGTAAGGATACATGAAAGACCGGATGCACTCTGGCCCCTGCAGGAAGTTTCAGTCTATAAGCTACCTGTCCAATCCTCTCTTCAACCTGGAAATGACCATAGTACTTAGCAGAAAGCTTCAAGCACTTCCGCACAGATATAGACTGTTGCCTATAAGGTTGCAATTTTAAGAATACCCAGTCCCCTACTACAAATTCTCGCTCCGTCCTATGTTTATCAGCAAAATGTTTCATCCTATTTTGAGCCTTGGATAAGTGTTCCTTGATGCTAGCAGTGATTCTGGCCTTTTCCTGTAATGTCTGAGTTGCAGCAGGTATCACTGAGTCCTGATATGGTCCTAAAGAAAGAGGTGTTGGTTTATAGCCAAACAAGGCTTCGAATGGGGAAAGCTCCAAGCTGGTGTGATATGCAGAATTGTACCACCATTCTGCAGTAGGTATCCACTTGCTCCACTGGGATGGAAAATCACACGTCATGCACCTCAGATAGGATTCCAGACACTGATTGAGCCTCTCACTCTGGCCATCTGTTTGAGGGTGGTAAGAAGAAGAATATTTGAGCTGAATTCCCATTAGCTTGAACAGTTCCTTCCAGAAACAACTGGTGAACACTCTATCCCTGTTAGTGATAATCGATTCTGGCAATCCATGCAACCTGAAAACATTATCCAGGAACACTTGTGCGACCTGCCTAGCTGAGAAAGGATGTGTTAATAGCAAGAAATGTCCAAATTTAGTGAACCTATCTATTACAACCAGTATAGTATCATAGCCCTAAGACTTGGGAAGTTTCTCAATAAAGTCCATAGAAATGTGGGATCAAGCTTTTTGAGGGATTGGAATGGGCTGAAGTAGGCCAGGATATGGAAGATGTTCAGACTTGTTTCTTTGGCATACATCACACTCTCGTACATAGGCAATAACATCCTTCTTGAGCTCAGGCCAGTAAAACAAGGATTTAATCCTATGCCAGCAACTCTTCTGTCCCGAGTGTCCCCCCATTGCAGAGTCATGTAAAGCTGAGACCAGTTTGCTCCTGATGTCATTTCCTGTCCCTACGTACAGCTTTCCTTGGTATCTGAGTACTCCTTCTGTTAGTGTATAGGATGGTTGAGAGGTAGAGTCTAACAGTAACTGGGACATAATCTCTTGGCAGTGATGGTCACCGTCATAACTCTTTATCAGTTCCTCCATCCATCCTGGTTTAACAGCAGATAGAGCCAAACAGAAACTAGTGTTGCTGTCCACTGAGACATCCTTCCCCTGTCTTCTTGAAAGTGCATCAGCAACCAGATTCTCAGCACCCTTCTTGTATTGGATTTCATAGTCCAATCCCAGTAATTTAGTCAACCACTAGTGTTGTAGAGCAGTATTGAGTTTCTAGTCCAGTAGATACTTCAGAGACTGGTGATCTGTCCTAATGATGAAGTGATGTCCCACCAGATAATGCTTCCACTTAGTGACAGCCATAACTAGAGCAAGGAGTTCCTTCTCATACACAGATAGTCCAAGGTTCTTGGGAGATAGTGCCTTGCTCAGAAATGCAATTGGATGGCCTTCTTGCATTAACACAGCCCCTAGATCCCCACCACTGGCATCGGTCTCAATGATGAAAGGTCTACTAAAATCTGGCAGTTTAAGGACTGGTGCAGTGACCATTAGTTCCTTCAATTTCTCAAAAGAACTCTGAGCACCTCCATTCCATATGAAACTATCTTTCTTCAGAAGTTCAGTCAAAGGTTTACATATTTGTCCATAACTTTGTATGAACCTCCTATAGTACCTTGTCAATCCCAAAAATCTCCTCAATTCCTTCACAGTCTGTGGTATAGGCCACTTCAAGATACAGTCAATCTTAGTTTGATCCATACTAACACCCTTCTCAGAAATAGTATGCCCCAAATAGTCTACTATTTTCTGAGCAAAAGAGCACTTAGATTTTTTTGCATACAGTTGGTTCTGTCTCAGAGTATCAAGCACTATTTTCAGATGTTGAACATGTGACTCCAATGTAGGATTGTAGACCAATATATCATCAAAGAATACCAAAACGAATTTTCTCAAATATGGTTGAAATACCTGGTTCATCAGAGATTGAAAAGTGGCTGGTGCATTGGTAAGGCCAAATGGCATCACCAGGAACTCATAATGGCCACAATGAGTTTGAAATGCTGTCTTGTGAGTATCCTGAGTCTTGGCTCGAATCTGGTGATAACCTGCTGTTAGATCTAGCTTTGATTTGAACACAGCTCTTGCCAACTCATCTAGTAGTTCTTCTACATTTGGTATTGGATATTTATCTTTAACAGTCATCTCATTCAATTTCCTATAGTCCACACAGAACCTCCAAGTGCCTTCTTTCTTTTTGACTAGCAGCACTGAAGATGCAAACGGACTGGTGCTGTGTATAACTATTCTGTTCTCCAACATTTTTGTAACCTGTCTTTCTATTTCTCCTGTTTTGAGAGTGAGGGTAACGGTATGGCTTGAGTTTGACTGGTTGAGAGCCTGGTTTCAGGGTAATCTCATGGTCAATGCTCCTTCTTGGAGGTAAAGAATCAGGTGTCTTGAAGACATCAGCATATTCACCGAGGATATTCTTCACTTCTCTGGGTATGGTATGCTCATTTCCATCCTTATTTTGCTTCCATTCCATGGCTGCACACACTTGTCTCTTATACTCAATAAAATACCTCAAGTCTTTCCCTCTGATTAGGTCCAGATCACAGTTCTCAGCTTGCCCTTGTAGGTGTACTGTTTGTCCTTGGTTGAACAGAGAAATTCTTAACTGATGGAAATCAAATGTGATTGGACTGAAGTGCACCATCCAATCCACTCCCAATATAATATCCCATCCTCCCAACTCCATTACTTTAAGATCAAACCTGAACTTGTACTGATTGACTTCCCACATTACACTTGGACAGATTGCATTACTAGTAACATAGGTGCCATTTCCCATGATCACAGAAAAAGGATCTGAGACCATTTGGTACTTGATATCCATGCCAATGACTAATTCACTGTTGATATAGCTGTCTGAACTGCCAGTATCCACTAGGATCAGCACCTCTTCCCCATCCAACTTCCCTGTTAGTGTGATAGTCTTTCTTTTTAAGGCCTCAGACAACGCATGAAGGGACATTTCCATCACTTGGCCAGGATTTCCAGTCTGGTCATCTTGTTTCCCCGGTGCATCTTCGAACATTGTCTCCTCCTCTTCTTCACCAATCAGCAAGTTTAAGTGTCCGAACTTACATTGGTGTCCAGGTCCATACTTGTCCCCGCACTTAAAGCACAATCCGTGGTTTCTCCTGTACTGAATTTCTTGAGGTGAAATCCTCTTAGGATCCTGATGGTCAGTTTGTAAGTTCCTAAATTTGGTGTTCCTGAAATTTCCAGTTGAAGGTATCTTGTATGTGTTGATGTTGGCTGCTGTAGGAGTAGTGCCTTTGGTCATTCCAAACTTACTTTCTGCAGCATTTCCGTGGCCTCCTCTAACTCCTCCGAATTGGACTTTAATGTTGCTTTCTTGCCACAGAGAGATCTCAAAGGCCTCTGACAGTGTAGCAGGCCGCAGCATCTTCACCATAGGCTTAATTTCCTCTTTCAGGCCACTGATGAAACTGGAGGTAAAGTAGCTCTCATCAAGGTTTTTGTTCTTGTCCAACATTAGTGGTTTTAATTCTTCAAACCTCTCCTGGTATTCTTCCACACTTCCTTCCTGTTGTAGTTTGTTGAATTCCTCAATTATGTCTTTATAGCCATTATCATTGAATCTTTTATACAGCATCTCCCCAAACTCTTCCCAGGTTAGCCTAGGCTTCTCAATCCTCATGCCTTGGAACCACCTGTCTGCCTTCCCATCAAGATACATCTCTACGATAGCTACTTTCTGCTCATTCGGAACTTGATAGTTAATGAAATACTTGTTACATTTTCTCAGCCATTCTCTCGGATTCTCTCCTAAAAACAACTGTAAATCAATTTTTGGGGGATTTGGCACTTGAACTTTACTTTCTTGCCTGAAAGCTCTCGTAACTTCTGCTTCTGGATACAACCTGAATTGAGAAGAGGGGTCGGTAACAGCGGCGGTGTTTGTTCTATTCTTCCTCTGGGTTCTTCCTCTGGCACTTTCTCCCTCGCACCAGTCACATTCAGCATTAGTGAGCTGAATTTTTGTTCTAAGAATGCTCCAAATTTCTGCCCTATTCCGGTTACCAAGCTTTCCATGCGCTTATTGCTTTCTTCCAGTTCTTGACGAATCTCTCCTCTGAGCTGCTGCTGCGAAGATTGCGACGATTGAAGATTCTCCATGATTTCTTGTAGCTTAGCCTCCTGTTTCCGCACTTGTTCTTCCAAGGTCTTGAATCTAGTGCTTTCTGCCATGATTGTGTCCAAGGATTCCGCTAGCTCTGATACCAATTTGTCACGGGATTTGGATCAATGGAATGATGAATTTAGTGGATCTGTTGGAAAGAATGGAAAACTGGGAAAGAAGTAGAATGAGAGAGAAGAATAGAACGAGAGAGAAAGAGAGGTTAGAGAGAGAGAGAGAAATGAATTCAATTCTGGTAAAATGTCTGATTGTTACAAGCTGTGGGCCCCATTTATTGTTGCAAGGCTAACTACCGTAACTAACTAAACAATTGGCCAAAATGTTGCCGTTCTTCTTAGCAATTGCCCTAAGCTCTGAAACAGTGCCGTTCCACCAATTAATTTCCCCAATCCCCTAAACGGTGCCGTCCCAATAATGTGTATTCCTATCTGCTAGACTGACAGAATCGAACCCTGGTCAGTAGGGAAGCCAGCAACTTAAGGCCGACCCCTCAACCGCTGCACCATATGCCCTAGGGGCACTTTCATCTTATTATTTGAACTATATGTCGAAGTATTTTAGCTATTTCCTTTCCACTATGGACATATGACTATTTTTGAGGGCGTTGAAGTCATCTTTTCAAAATTTTGGATGTAAAACTTCAAACTAATATCTGTCTTTTTCCTGTGAAGGGCAAAGTGTATAATGTCTGTCTTTTTCGCGTAGGGTACAAAGTGTATATTTTAAGTTTATGTAAGTACAAAAAATCACGCAAGGGAAGTAACATTAAAATTTTACAAATAATAAATAATAAGAAATGCATGGAAGGAAACAAAATATTCTGTTTCAATTCACTAATTTCACTCAATTATAAAAGTCGGACTTCAAGTCCTTAAATAGACAAACATGACCATGAATCATATTCTGATTATAATATCAAAATATGGCTCAACTATATTTTCTAAACCAACTATAATACCAAATCTAATATAGTTACCAAATAACAAATCAACTTCTAAAACTACTAAAATTCTAAATATACTTGGTTTAATTATTCCAACATTGTCTTCCTTAAACCAAACTCGTGTTGTTGTTATCTCCAATATCATCATGAGTTTGAATTGCTTCTGCAGTCTCTCTAGCAATATAACTCACAACACATGCAACTCCAATTTATTTTTAACCTTTATCTTGTTCAATGAGAGTAAAGCATACTTGTACTTTGCACACAACTCCGCTGCTAATCCCGCTTGAACAAAAAATTCATCCATATTAACCCATCCACCATTAAAGCCTCCATATCCATGATAATCATTCACACGGTCATTAAAAAATAATTTATGCCTTTCTTATTGCCAACAATTTCCAATTTCAAGATTGCCAATGGATTCATCCATTCCACAAGTACCAACAATTCCTTTTATATCTTCATCAGGAATCAAATTAATGCACTCACTCACGAATTCCTCTTCATCAATCATCCCAAACAAAGTATGCAAAATCATAATTTTCAACCATATCAAAAACTTGAAGTGCCTCTTTATCAACAAGCATATCTTTTTCCAAATTAATTTCTCATATCAAATCAAGTTTTGATTTACAATTAGACTCATAATCATACTCCATCAAATTAAAACAGAGATCTAACCAAAAACATTCAGGCATTTTAAAATCAATAAAGAGTCTCATATAATATTCTTCAACCATGAATTTCTACATAATCCTGGAAAAAAAAAACTTTTGCTTCTTTTTCTCGTGTTCTTTTGGCAAACGATAGAAAGAAATTATTTTAAGAAAGTCACCCAACATCTTGTGAGATATTTTTCTATTATTTTTTCCCATTCTCTCTTCAATAGTACTCAGTGTATGCAAAATTTTTAATTTTTTACCATTGACAAATTCTTTCTCTCTAGCAAGTTAAAACAATTTACGTACCTTCACAAGATTTTTTTTCTTCTCCGCTTGAATTTCTTGGCCTTCCTAGCTTCAAGTTTGATCAAACACTACTGTGACAATCAACAATCTAGCTGAATATTTTTTCCTGATCACTGCACAACACCAACAATCTCAACAGAGTCCCTCTTTTTAGATCTCTATCCAATTAGGGTCACTTTTTCCTAATTCCAATCAACGAATGAGCACTGTAAAACCAACACTTGTGGTCCAATTTTTCAATACATAAGTACTCTACCACAACCTTTGTACCCTTTTATGGAACTTGATTCTCTATCACAAATTCTGTAAACCCTTTAAGCACTACAGACATCCCAAGATCAAACTGTTGAACCTAGAACTCTGATACCACTTATTAACACAAAAAACACACAGCAGAAGTAATATTAAAATTTTACAAATAATAAATAGTAAGAAAGGCAAGGGAGGAAACAAAATATTCTGCACCAATTCACTAATTTCCCTCAATTACAAAAGTCAAATTTCAAGTCCCAAAATAGAGAAACATAACCATAAATCCTATTCTAATTATAATACCGAAACATGACTCAACTATATTTCTTAAACCAACTATGGTACCAAACCTAATATAGTTACTAAATAACAAATAAAATTTTAAAAATATTAAAATTTTAAATATGCTTGGTTTAATTATTCCACAATTTAGGGGGACAAAATGTTACTTGGGGTCTAGTTCAAGGGCGAAGTGTAAGTAACCCTAATTAAAGTACGCCCAAAAAATCCCTAATTAAAATATGTCTTAACAAGAAGTAATTGAATCACTGATCCTTAACGTTTTCTTATCTGGATAAGGAATGTAAGACATAATTTCAAAAAATCAGACATATAATCTTAAACTGAAAAGATACGAAAAGACCAAACTATATCATTGGTTTCATAAGAAAACATGAACAGGATCAAGGACTAGCTAGCGAAAATTAGACCATTAAAATAAAAGAGCTAAAATATGACTAGTTGATGAGTATCCAAATTTCATTAAGGTGGGGAGGTTGGGCTGGTTGATATGGGGAGGAAGTGTAATTGAAATGTCCTGAGTTCGAAACCTCGCACTTACACTAAAAGAAAAAAAAAATCCCATCAAGTGGGTCTAATAGCTACATGCAGTGACAATCGAAATTCAAAACTTGATTTAGTTTACTATTACTGTTTAAAATATTTAGAGTTTGAAACGAAGCAAATAACACCTTTATAACCAAAATCTCAAAGAACATCTTTAAGAGTAATATTCCATTTTAGGAGTTACAAAATCCCATACATCATAATTGTGGTTTATGCCCATCCTAAACCAAGCTCACTTGATTTTTACATAAAATAACGTTGATCGCCCTCAACATAACAGCGCTCCACCCTTGCCATCACATAATCTGAACATAATTGCTTTTTTACTTTAACTTGTACTTTTGTGTAAGTGAATTACACATTTTATGGGATTAATTCCACTTTGCACACTTCAACTATACACAAATTCTCACTTTGATTTCTAAACTTTAAATTAGAATACATTTATCTATAAAGTATAACTTCTGTTCCACTTTGATTTCTAAACTTTAAATTAGAATACATTTATTTATAAAGTATAACTTCTGTTCCACTTTTAGTTCGTTAAGTATAAAATTTATCACACTTTAGCCTCTAAAGTAAAAATTTGTCTCACTATCTTTCTTAAACTATAACATTTGTCCTACTTAAATATAAAATATGTTTTACTTCCGTCAAATGATTTTACTTAAATAGGATAAATTCTATACATTTTAAGGACTGAAGTGTCTTATTTTAAAATTTAAGGATCAAGGTGAAAATTCGAGTATAATTGAAGGGTGCAAAGTGAAATTTAACCTTTAACTATCCATGGGCTTAGAGGAAGCAACAATTAAGAGCCTGGAGGACAAGCAGCTATCAATTAAAAAATCACAGGGTGCTTAAGATTACGCCCCACAAAAAGGTCACCCAATGCTCCTCACATTATGCTAGTTCATATTTCTAAAATATGCAATAATCCAAGTGCCAGAACATCCAGCAGGCTTGTAGCCATGGTTTGAAGGCTCCTTAAGATCTACACAGGGCAAGACATGACGCGTCTAGCCATGGTTTGAAGGCTCTGTCCTGAGTCAGATTCTGTGGCAACAAACACCAAATGTCTGATCAGAAGATGCTACTACAAGTACACAAAATATTTAGGAGAATATAAGATGCAATAAAACCAGCGTTCAAGGTATATTAGTGATGCTGGCACAGGTGAGATTCTCATTGCTTCTCAGAATCCATGGCAAACGATGGTGATTGATTAAGTCGATCAAAATAACCGGCCTTCTTTACATACTAGAACCATGCAGTGATGATTCAAGCAGCCAAACAAGCAATTCCTCTCCAAAACACTTAAACCATGCCCTCCTCACCCAACCAAAAGAGAGCGGAAAAAGCAAGAGAATGCAACTGAACACAGAAGAAATTGCAATGCTAACTGGGTCTGAAATAACTACTATTTGAATCATTTTCCTGAGAAACAATCACGTCTGTTTTCCACTATTTGGAACCTAAAATGGACAATCAAATTAACCAAAAAGAACAAAATTTGTCAATCCTAGTGATTGGTTATTGTTCTATATTCTTGTTAACTATTTAAATATCTGACAAAAGTATGTGGAAGGCTAGATTTTGTTGATAGTACGGAGTGGAAGTAGTATTCTAGTTTTTATATCCCTCATGGTTATAAATGAAAGCAGGCTAAAACACAAGGCAAAAGAGGACAAAAAAATGTTGTCCATCAATAAGATGTAGTGCGCCTAGGAAAGACAATACAGGATCTTAAGATTGTCAATCTGCCATTTGAGATAACATATATGCAGAGTATTAACCCTCAAATGGAATATAAATCCAATAAGTAAATAAACTTATAATTCTTATCTCTTAAGATCTGGTAAAAGCAGTGTATTTTGAAATTTCAAATCTTCTTTTCGGAAGTTTAGTTGATAAAAACTGCATATCGTACTGCTAATACTTTTAGTGCCATTTAACAAGAGAACAAACAATTCATCAAAAGGAAAACTAAAATGTTTCTAAGCAAAAAGATAAAACTATATTTCATCAATAAACTGTT